AAGCATGCCTCTATATTGCAGTCTATATATATATATATATATATATTATAATTCCAGACTGCTGATCCAAAGCAAGCAGTTTCAGATAAACATTTCTTCATCAAAGGGATACAGTACGTAACTTGCGATCAATCAAAGAGATTTCATCTTAATAAAGATAACAATGAAAAGTACAATAGGTGAGAAGAGAAACTTTGGGCTGTCCAAAATGATAAATTTCAACATAACGACCAGAAATATACTACAAAGCACAGAGTGCCACACCTTGTTGACAAATAAATTTCTAGAAGTGGGAAGCGCTAAGCGTTTTGACAGGAGCAATGAAAGAGCGAGTACAAAGTCCGCGAATAATAGACGTTGACGAAGACGTCGACTATTGTCGCCGACTATTATTGTCGATAAAAAAATGCAAAGCAACGAAAGGGAATAATAAAATTCGTACCGCGGAAGTAATACAAATGTGGCTACGAATAACGAATGACGATTTTGCTTGATATTTCATTTTTGATTTGTGATTGACGATTAAGCTACAATGATATAGATTAAAAAATGGAAATTTGTCACAAAAATATTCAATGCACGAGACATTCTGATAAATATAGCTTAAAATCATTTCCTCTGCCCGAATAATACGAAAAAATATAATCGCATTTAAATTCTATCTTCTCGGATTCTGAACTCGAATCCGATTTTCTTTTAAAATATTTCAAGCATCCGTTTTCACTTCCCGAGACTTAATATTAAATATTATAAAACATTTAGAGTTCTCAATTAAAGACACATTAAATTAAAAAGAAATTAAGTTCCGAAAACTTGATTTCGAATTCTCATTTTCGTTTCATTCCGTATTTTCATTGAAAAAAAAAAAAAAATAAAATACGAGATGGCCAAAGTCCGCGATGGAAAATCCGGTCGTGGAAGCATTAGCTCGTATAATGGATATCTACAACGACGCGGGAAGGAGAGGAGAAGACCAACGAAGAGCACGACTACCACGAGAGAGGAGGCGACATCGGAGGGCGATAAGGAGCCCGACAGAACGGATGAAGGAACTCCGCGTCGAGCGCGGTCGGAGAGAAGGAAGAGAGGCCGCAGTTAAGTTATGAATTATGACATGGTACGAGCGAGAAAGAGACGAATCGAGTCGGTCGCGGAGGTCGTTACGAGGCCTGAGAAGGGAAGCGCGAAGACCCCGACGGGGAAGGAGAAAGCAAAAAGCGTCCGCAACGGATATGCGGCACTGCCTTTGGGGAAAGAAGGTAGCCCTCGCTAAACGAGCGCACCCCCGACAGTGACTGTGACGATGACGACGATGACGACGAGTGACGGGAAACGCGCTAACCGCGACGAATGGCTTTCGAGCCGGTATATCCTGAGCGAACCCGCGGAATCCATGCCAAAAATCGCAGGATTGTATATACACGGATATGCCGATGGGGAGTCCGGACCGAAGCGCGAAGGTCGTTTACCATCGCGATGCATGAACTCGCGGTCCTCTTTTTGCCGAAGCCAGCGTATATCTGGTACCGGTTGTCTTCCAGGGTGTCCAGCAGACTTAATAAAAAAAATTTAATATATATATATATCTGTATATTTAAAATTTATAATTTCTAAAACAATTTTTGTACTAATTTATTTCACTTAATTTTTAATGAACAAAATATATAATTTGCATTTGTCTATATGATAAATCAATTAAATGTTAAATCATGAAATCCTGGAGATATTTTTGTCAATAATGAAAAAGTTCGAAAATTAAGAAAAAAGTTTAATCAATGATACAATCTGCATTATGTACGATAATCGAAACAAACATGTCGCTATAAACTATTTAAATAATCACCTTTTTTTATTTGTATTATGTCAAATTTTTTAGTTTTATCTCTCTATTAAGCACATTGAAATAAAATAACACGACGATGAAAATATAAATTAACGAACTGTAGATGACTCAATTTTTAACAACACAGAAAATTAGCTGGGAGTCAAGGAAAAGTTTATATTTATTTAATAAAAAATTTCAAATTATTGAGACAAATGTAGAATGAAATTTCCTGACTTTTCCCTGACCGCTAGACACCCTGCAGTTTTCTTCAATAAATATGAAATATCTGGATGCTAAATAATATATTTTTCTGAATTTGAATAAACATATGATAAGAATTGATCATTATTGTCGTCACTAGTTTATCTTTCTATCTATTCTCTAATATTATTAATATTCCCATTTTATCTGTTTGCCCGCAACTATATTTCAGACTTGTGTATATATGTATATCTCTAGATGATCGACTATCTTTCCGTACGCATGCAGTCTTTTTTAATATCGCCGATCTTGATCTTGTCGACAACACTGTAGCCTCCTCTTTCACCGAATCTCGGGTGGCTTGTCTTGTCTCACATTCTAAACAAGTCGTATCTACCTATCCATCTACCTCGCAGCATCCGCTGTCCGGCTGCGTGCTCAGCTGCATTTCTACGTCACTAACGTGCATTCCACGGTACACCTCTCTCTTCCTTCCTCCGTCTTCTTGCTTTTATTTACAACCGCGGCGCCCACCGTCGACGCGTTCGCGATGATCACTCTGCTGCTTCTTTGCTCGTGATCCCGCCTCTTTTACACTCTATCCTGTCTATTTTCGATCTCGCTGAAAAGTTACAGCGAAGAGGTTCTCTATATGAGCAAACGCGAACATTCTGATCAACGTTGTCGTTAGATAAATTCAGAGATTACCTTTTTAACGTTTTTGTTATTCCTTTCTATCAACTTCCCTAACGCTGATTGTCAGTTAATAATGGATGAAAGATTAAAATGTCGATTAAAATGTAATAAAGCTAGAGAAAGTTAATATCGAAAACATTTTGTACAAAGTTAAAACCTTCCGTGTTCATGACAGGTTTTGCATAAAGCTTTGCTGATCGTGACTTCCGCTTCACACGAAAGAACAATCTCCAACATACCATTCCGTAAAGGCCTCGACTATCGAAATGACGATCGGTCGGCAATATTCGACGCGTTTCTTCAGGAAGATGCAGGAAAAAGGAGGAGAAAAAACGGCGACATACGGACAGAAGAAATGTCGGAGGCGACGAGAAAACCGCAAAGAACGATAATGACGAGACGAGAGGACGCAGAAAGCGAGAGGCACAAAAGAGAGGACGCCGCGGAAGAGAAACTGGCCCGAGGTAATTGCCGGGGTGTCTCTTCGCACCTCATCATCATCATCAACAGCCGCGTCGCTCTCGTCGTCGTCGTCATCGTCGTCGTCGTCGTCGTCGTCGTCGTCGTCGTCGTCTTCGTCTTCGTCGTCGGTCCCCGGGACCACCCGTTAAGAGTCAACGTTTTCGTTTGCATTGGATCAAAAGCTGCGTCGAAATGAACGACAAGTTTAAGTGAAACGTTCTGCAATCGAAAGAGCGAACACCATCCGGTATTCATACGAAATTTGACGAGAATTTCACCCAGAAAGTTCATTGAAAGTTCTATAGAAATCTGGATTAGCCGAATGTTAACTCTTTCCGGTTATGTCGTTGCAATTGTGAAAAATTAATTTTTATTAAAATTGACGTACTATCTGCCTTTTACAAGCTCGAAATTTTAATTTGTATTTTGTTTAAAATCATATAAGCGATTTCAACATTATCTCGTAGTGTCCCTTTAATAATTAAACAATCGCAAGATTTGCAATTTTACAAAACAGCTGATGCAAATGTCATATTTTCGAAATTATTGATTTAAATCAAATTAAACACGGACAATATTCTAACTTCAATATTTTGCAATAAAAATTTTTTTAATTATAATTTGTAAATCTTTACAAAAACCCTTAAGAGGCCCGCGACCGCTGCTGTCTCTCGCAATAAAAAGAAAAAAAGATCGATTAAACGGGACTAGGATAAACATCGGAAACGGAGCCAGATAGTTGTCCGTTGTCGCCTCTGAGAATCATAGATCTAATCTACGTCAAGGTCCGAAATTCCAGCCGCGGCTGCGAAGGGGCAGGACGGAATTGAGTCCCCCTCGACGACGGTGGAAAGAGACGCGTCGCGACGCCCGTGGAATGCGAACGACGCTGACCTGGACCACACATGACGCCGCGCGGTCGGTTCTTAAACGACTATCGTGAAATACGATAATGTCCGTCTTTCTCGCGCGCCGAACACAGAATCTGAACTTGGACACGGAAGACGAGAGAGGTTCGTCGAGAAAGAGAGAGAGAGAGAGAGAGAGCAGGGGAGAAAAAGAGAAAGAGAGAGGGATTGCAACTCCCGCGTTCCTCTCACGATCACCTCGACAGTTGCACGTGTTGCGCCTTTTGATAGCTGCACGCTGCGCTTTAACAGTGGCGAGCCTATTTGGGGATTCTTGCATTCTCAGCGCACTCAGAGTGTCCCTTGACTTGATCTCATATATTTAATGCATTCTAAAGTATATTGTTGTCTCTAATACCTTGCATATCGTATTTTTTTTACCGTCAATTACATTTTGAAAATTGATTCCAGGAGAGAAACACACTCTCTCAAGTGAATATGTTCAAATGATCAAAAATCATTATCAGTCAATCAAAATAAAAATATCAACAAATACATAGTGTATGTATATATGTATGCGTGAAATTTTGAAGATGAATAAAGCTGTGGAATATTTTTCATACAGTCGCTTCGCAAGAAGGAGGCGAATGATTCTCTCGATATGCAAATGCCAGCGTTCGCAATACTTGTTAACATGAACCATGTATATCCGCCGGGTGTTACGCCAGTGTCTTTGCGCGCGGTCGCTTGCTCTCGACAGAAACGATTATCGGGGATGAAAGAGAGCCGCGGCGAACGAAATGGAGGAACCAGTCCCGTGTGGCCGAGATACGGAGGACCGGAGGCAACCGGACGGACGTACGAGGCTCGGCCGAGCGAAAGGAAGACGAGGTAGGCGAAAGAGAATGAGCGAGCGCAAAAAGGAAAGACGGGAGTGTAACGGTAGCGAGAAACAAAGTGAAACTTACGAGCTGATTCTGATAGGCGGTGACAGCGGTGAATATGGCCTCCGGGAATACGAAGGTCTTGTGCGGCTCCTTCTCGAGGTCCGCGATCGGCTTCGTCGTGCCCGAGTCCGGCCGCTTCACCAGGTGGATCCTCGGCTGGTACTTGTGCATCGAGTTCAGCACCAACTGTAAATTATCCGGAATTGTACGATTAAAAAACACTTTTGCGTCTAACATGGTGTCCAGACTCGATGAAAAAAATGCCCTGACTTTTTAGTATTATTTTTTCCAAATATATAATTTGCATACTAAATCAATTAAATGTTAAATCATGAAATACTTGAGATATTTTTGTCAACAATGAAAAGATTCGGAAGTTAAAAAAAAGAAAAAAAATTTTAATCAATTATACAATCTGCATTATGTACGATAATCGAAACAAACATGTCACTATAAACTATTTAAATAATCACCTTTTTTATTTATATTATATCAAATTTTTGAGTTTTCTCTCTATCAAACGTATTAAAATAAAATAACACGACGATAAAAATATAAATTAACGAACATGCTGTAGATGAATCGATTTTTAACAACACAGAAAATTAATATGCTGGAAGTCAAGGAAAAGTTTATATTTATTAAAAAAAAATTTTCAAATTATTGAAACAAATGTAGAATCCAGATAAATAGTAAAATTTCCTGACTTTTTTCCCTAACAATTCCAGATTTATAAAATTCCCGAACAATGCCCGATTTCCCTGGCCGTTAGACACCCTGTCCAATCCTTCGACGTACGTCAAGCAGTATTATAAACAATTCAATTTTTATCATTTTTAATTTTCAAAATATATATCCACTTTATTTATGCTTTTTTATTATTATTTCAAATTACCGATTTTTTCTCTCAATTTATATTATTAATTCGAAAACGGGGTTGCATCCCCAAATCGGAGGATCTCTCGCAATAATTACAAGTATCCGATTTCGTCCAATTAAAATTGACAACAAACCAACAGTGAACTATTCGAATGGACGACGATATCGATATTATCGCTCACGCGGGCAAGATTTTTCACTTCTTCTTTTTTTTTAGTGTCTCGCGTTTCCATCCATCCCTTATTTCCAAGCGTCCCATTAGGCTACCCGGAATCGCTGACGGCTTTTTTTTCCGAGGACGAAGAACGCGCGTAGATTACATCGAGTTTCACGTCGCGTCGACTTTCGTCGTTCGGGGATTTGAATCGGCGACGAAGCCGAGAGCATGCGATAGCATTAACAACACAACACGGGTGGAGAGATCGGTCTCGCGGCGAGAAAAAGCGTATGAATTAGAGGAGCACTTTGGGCAGGGCGAGCTCCCCGTTACCATTCAAAAGAATCACTTTGCTCGCGTCTGGCAGCGTGTAATATCCTGAATACAAAATGAGTACCGTGAAGAAGCGCTGCCCCGATCGGAGTTCCTATTTACGTCAGTCATCCGATGAATTAAGGGCCCCGATGCGCCCTGGCGAGAAAGAGGAGCTCGGGCTGACAATGAGACGGTGGGAGGGTGGAGGACGGGGGAAGACAGAGGATTCGGGGGTGGAGAGGGCGAAGACGCTGAGATTCTCGTGTCTTATGACAAACGAGACAACGGACTGTCAAATTATCCCGTGGAGCGACTAAATCGCGCCACGATGAAATTCGTTTTATCGGCGTCATTTTTCTCCTTTTCATAACCGAGACCTGCGGTAGGTCGCAATCAATCAAGTTCGCGACGAACGATGACGTTCTTGATGATTTTTTGATTTCAAGAGCAATGTGAGAAATTGACTCAATTAATTCTTTGTATAAGAACACAATAATATCCTTCGCCCCCTCCGAATATTATTTTCGCATATTGAAAGATCACTTTATAATTACTTTAGAAATCTCGCACGCATATCCAACTTTTGCTTTAATTTCTCATTTGTTTCGCATTTTTTTTTAATTCTCATAAGCGTTCCGTCAATGTCATCAACTCTACGAGTTGCAAGCCCACGTTGTCGCACGATTACGGAAGAAGGAAAATTGCGCGGAGAGAGAGAGAAAAATATACTTCGAAATGACGTAAGAGGGTAAGATAAGTACGACGTAAAAGCTTTCCGCGAGACAAAATGCCATCGTGTTGCGTTCCACTTTGCTGAACTTTGTTGAACCTAACAATCGATGCCGGTCGATTTATTAATGCAACAACCAGCGGACGCGGTAGGCGTGCACTCGCTGTCTTCGGCGCCGACAATGTCGTACTTTTAACCGCAGCTGCGCCGAGTAACGTGTAAAAGTTTAATGCGCGAGTTGTCGCGGAACGGCCACGTCTGCAATCGCAAGAAAATGTGAAAAATTCGCTGTAATAACATGAAAAATTCGCCGTCCGTGAGAAAATGTCGACGGCTCATACAGAGGCTCATATATATACACAATCATTCAAATTAATCGAATGGAGCGATGCTATTTCTTTCGAAGATATATATAAATATCAAATGCAAAAATCCAGAAAAACTTGATACTAAATTTTAATTTAAAAATAGTCATATTTTCTTCTCGATAATCTCTCATGTTATTTAAAAATATAATCCAACAATGTATTAAAAAAATATTTTGCAAGTGTATCAATACAATAATGCTAATTTACGCAGGTAATTAATTTGGAAAAGTATATTAAAAAAAAAAGATTGTAAAAATTATTAAATTAGAAATTACGAAATGACATTATTCTTACGCATATCTGTTTTATGATCATATCCGGTTCCTTTTCTTTTTTTCGAACACTTTAATTGAACCGGATGGACAATGAGGAAACGTCGGCTAAATTTTATTCCATTCCTTTTCACCGATTCGCGGATCATTCAAAACGCAATGGCAAAGCATACACAGTCAAAAAATCGATGCGAGTTATTACGTAAACGCGAGCTCGCAATTAACTTATTCATTCTGCCATTATAACGGCTTAATAATAGAGACCGATCTTCGCGGTGGTCTGACAGGTGTCACGAGGAATTAACCGAATGCCTTCGCGCGAGAAATAGAGAGACGGATGGGGCTTATTAATTAATTAATTCAATAAGAAACTTAACACATCCGATGTAACGCGAAACGGAGTCTGCACTTCGTCGGAATTGGCTTTTTATAGCGAGCCGATATAGAATGCCGGAAGTACAAAGATAATTCGTGCAAAATAATCAGCGTTAAACTGCTAAGTTCTTATTCATCAGGTTCATGTATATTGATTTTGAAAACCCGATACAAAACTAATCTACTTCTCCATTTTCTATCTCTTATATTTTTACATATCCGCCATTTTGCAATAATTAGATAGAAAGCATAGCAATTCGATTATTATACGAATCCAGACAAATTCAACAATTAATCTTAATGAGAAAGAGGGTGAAAAGTTATCTTTCAAAAAGTAACACTCACATGTCCATGTCTGTCCATGTCGTTGTTGGTGAGCTTGACTTTCTCGAAGGAGACGACCTGCTTTCGGAGTTGCTCGCCTGTGAAAGGTGAATCCGGATGGACGTATAGTCGAGCTGGCGCCGGCGGATCCGCCTTTCCGGCCACCAACCAGCAGCTCCTGTGATATGCGTATCGATACCTCTTGTTGTCAACCGGTACGATGTCCATCAGGACGGCGTATCGACTGTCCGCCTTCAGTCCGTTGAAGGAGACGCGACACGTCGGAAACATTCGTCTGCGCACACGCAAACACAAAAAGCACAAACTTTATTAGCCAAAAAAATCCAAAATTTCAGTCAAATTTAAATACTATAGTTTTTAATATTTTTAAATGGTTGCAATTATCAGATTCGGCGCTTGCTTATTTTTTATTAAGCATAAGTATAGAGAAAAAATTAAAAATCAATTCTTCATTCATTCTTTGCTACAATAATTATTACTGTATGTATGTGTGTGATTAGATCGAAATTCTTAATTAGAGTCGTCTTCATAAGTAAATTCACAAACTATTACCTAATTAAATAAATTTTTTTCTACAGCAGAAGCTTTTAAGATTTTCAATAAAATAGAAGCGCTGCGTTTTGGTAATCAATGATCCGGGATGATTGGCGATAATTTCAGAATTGATCCGCTCACGGTCGTCGAAGCATGGTGCACGGGAAGAGAATGGGACGGAGGAAAAGGGGACAAGAGAGGGCGATGGGCCCGGATTCGCGGTTAGAGACGAAGGGGTCCGCGGGACCTGGCGTGAATGTTTTGCCTCGGAGGCCAAACATTAATACCGTGTCGGGCCCCCTGCTGCTCGACCACTAAAACGCGGGGACACCCGCCGATCTTATCTACGTCTTCTCCTCGGTCCTTGTCGACTCGGTATGCATTCATCCTGCCAGCGCCACGAGTGTGAGTAATGCTTTTATTTATCAAGCCGTCTTTTGTTAATGAATTGAACGAGGGGGAGAAGGTGGGACCTCACCCTCGCGCCATCTCGCCTTCGCCTCTCCTCGTCCTCGTTTGTACCTGATTTTTAACCCTTCTCCCCTTCCGCGCGATCATTTCTCTTGTGACGCGAGCACAAGTTCCAAAGATACCTGTGTTCTCTTTTCACAAGCGGATTATCCCCCAAATTCCCACCTTATTGTGAAAAAAGTGACTTTATGCATGAAAACTCGGAGAAAAAAGAGGAATCCTTCAAAATAAGAGATAAAACCTTCAGGGATCGAACATATTTTTTTAAAAATTTAATACACACTCGTTCGTCATTCACAAAACAAATCTTTTTTGTATTACACGTGCAGGCAAAGTGGCACTTTGTGTGCGTGTTTTCTGTGCGGAAAGCGGCCGATTTCCCACGCCGCCATCCAGCGGCGACGCGGTGAGTGAATGAGCCGCATTCAAAGTCATTGTCCACGACTGAAGCCGTAGGCAATGTATTGAACACGGCTATTCCCGCACCGTGCCGCCGCAAGATGGCGGCGTGCGATCGGCCACCTCGCGCACAGAAAACGCGCACAAAGCCACTTTGCCTGTACTTGTAATACAAAATAGTATGTGTATCACGTGCGGATTGACAATTGTTCACTCGTATGGGGTGGTTGCACGAGCCGAAGGCGAGATTTTTTTATTTTTTCGCCTTCGGCTCGTGCGTCCATCCCCCGCACTCGTGACCAATTGTCAACTTTCCGCGCTTGATACACAATATACTATTACAGATTTATACTTTGCGATACAAATTACATAAAATTGCCAAGTAGAAAAAAATCAATGAGACAGAATGAACGGATGAGCGTGAGCGAAAAGTGGAGTTTCCGCCATGTGAAACTTTCCATAGATAGCGAGAAGCGTAATGGAAGAAAGAAAGAAGGAGGGTTGAAGCGAGTTCGAAGAAGGGGAATCTCGAGTTGCCTAGTGGCGGAAAGTCTAAGGGATGATGTAAGGGGCGGTAAGTTGACGGCTGAAGGGAGCGAACGACTCAGCTTCGCTTAGACGCAGATCTAATTACCGACGCACGAGTAGGCGCGCATCCGACTGAAGGAACGCGAATCCTCCTCCCTTCCATCCCCCCGCATAAGGGGTATAAAGAGGGATGTTGCCCATCGTGGCGGGCAATTAGGCGCGCGTCGGCCGCGTCGTCCCTCCCATCTTTTCCGCCTCCTTTCGCTTCCGGAGTTTCCCAGTTTTCTCGAGGAATCCATTCAATGTTATCCTCGCACCCCATCTCAGACTTTCGTCCAGGACCGGCGCACGCGACCCCCTCTATATATAAAAACCTTATCTCGTTTCGTTCACACGGAAAAAAAATGTTTAGTTATACACATGAGAATTGAATTTGATTTAGCATGATTAATTCGAGCGTAATCCTTCGCAATGATTTAATATTTAACAAATTTGATAAAAGGCTGTTAAGAGCAGTAAATATAAAAATTCAAATTATGTTTGAAAGTGAAGTCATATATAAAGATAATATTCTTTGATCTAATGTCTAATAATGAATTACAATAAAAGGTGACAAAAAAGAATTAAACATAAGTCCTCTTTAAATACAAATACAAGCACAAATTATTGTTGAATTTTTATATTTACTGCTCTTAACAGCCTTTTATCAAATTTATTATAATTTAATAAAAGCCTTGACTTACTACGATTTAATATTTAACATTACATATATCTCGATAATGAATCTTGCATTTTAAAATGACGCATGAGAAAATATTGTTCTTAAACCCGTATTATGGTACAATATTTTGGTCTGAAAAAGAATGAAAAACGTCTGCATAAAATATTCTAATTATCTCGTGTGCATACCTACATTTCATATTCCACCATTAACTCGTTCTAATCCACCGCATTGATATATAAAGGATTATTCTCCACGGCTCTTGATAGTTAACTTCGCGTCCGATGTTAGCATTTCCGTCGTTAAGTCGGAGATATATGTTTGCGAAGGTGTGGTATATCGCGAGTCGAAACGAATGCGAACATAAAACTTTTCGGGCTGCCTTCCGCGAAGAGGCAGCCCTGAGAGAGATCCCCCCAGGACTTCTCTCCCCTCACAGTGTGATCCCACTCGAATCCTCACGCCTTCGGTCGCCACCGCTCGTCCCAAGGACCCTTATAAACTGGCATAAGCTCGGCCGGTTTCTACACCGACCCGACTAATTGACTGACGGTCAATATAGCAATTTAACCCGCCGCTTGCCACCAGCTCGTTCCCCGCTTTTTATTCTTCTTCTACCATCTCTTCCTCTTTTTCCCTTTCCGATCCTTATTCTCTCCTTTCCAGTTCTGAGGTAGTCCCGACCCTTTCACACTTTTGTATCACTCTGAACAGTATATTTTTGTGTATATTCTTATCTTTTTATTTGCACAATACGCGATGCATCATATTACATTCTTGTTATTCTCGCACTTGAATGTGTTTACTTCTAAAGAGGATTCTTTTTATAGGCAGAAAGGTGTATGTATATGTACATTTTCATAGTCCTGAATCTCAATTGATGTTTTGTATTTAAGTATCGTTATTCTTTCTCTCTTTGCCGTTTCTGTTCGCAATGTTTTACGGATAACGCTTTTTATTACGATTTTATTTATGCTTTTTTACGCACGATCAGTATTTGTGAAATAATGAATTAATTATATCGATCTTATTGCTTCATACTATCTCCCTGACATTTTCAATTGCATTAATTTTGTTTAGTAAAAATCAAACTGTCTTGTAAATAAAAATTATAAGAAATAATAATCTCTGGGAAAGAATCATATAATATAAGAAACTTGATAATAAATTTTGAAAGCAACTTGATTATCCTTAAACCAGTGAAAACATTTTCTAAACGATACAGTGTTTTACATTTTTTGATTTGTTTTTCAATATTATATTTTCTACATCGTTTAAATAAAAGATGAAGCATCGAAAAATGTTTTAGTATTTGACTCTGTTTCATAACTGTTGAATATGTAATACCATTCTCTCTCCAGGGTTTCCCTACTCAATTTCCGCGATTAAAGGATCGTAATTTCAATGCGATTAGAGCGCTTGCTTATGTTTCGGTATAACGTGTCAGGCGAGTGACAGCTTGCTCAGGGTAACGACACCTCTCGCCCTAAGCCTAGGCCGTTTCTATCGTCGGGTTCCCCTTGGGAATTTTCGTGGGTGTCGTGTCGTGACCCGTGGCGGGACGTGATTGAGTTTGCAGCGACGTCGCCCCGGGAGCGACGGCGGTTTCGGGACAAGAACCGAAAGGGTGAGCGGTCGCGAGTAATGAGAAAGAGTCAATCGCTTCGACGTTGTCCAGGAGGAATCTAACCTGCGATGCATTAGCGGGATACGTCGTCTCGAGGGAATTCCCCGGGACATCTGGTTGCCTCGGGGATCCTCGCTATTCCCTCGAGGAAAACGAGGCTGGAATTGTTTCCGCCTTCGATTAATCGTGTAAAACACGCGCGTCTTTTTCGAGCTTAGCAGCATCTCAGAATAAAATAATTATTTAATTTAGAGTATTATATTGCTGCGTGATATATTGAATTTAATATTTGTTACCAGGGTAATGAATATTATCAGCATATCTGGTACCGGTTGTCTTCCAGCAGACTTAGTAAAAAAATTAAATTATATATATCTTTATATTCAAAATTTATAATTTCTAAAACAATTTTTATACTAATTTATTTCACTTAATTTTTAATGAACAAAATTCCCTGACTTTTTCAGATTTTCCAAAACCAGAAATTAATTTTTTCCCTGACTTTTTAGTATTATTTTTTCTAAATATAGAAATTGCATAAATCTATATGATAAATCAATTGAATGTTAAATCATGAAATCCTTGAAATATTTTTGTCAACAATGAAAAGGTTCGGAAGTTAAAACGAAAATTTAAATCTATTATACAATCTGCATTATGTACGATAATCGCAACAAACATGTCACTATAAATTGTTTAAATAATCACCTTTTTTATTTATATTATATCAAATTTTTAGTTTTATCTCTATCAAACACATGGAAATAACACGATGATGAAAATATAAATTAACACGCTGTAGATGAATCGATTTTTAACAACACAGAAAATTAGCGTGCTGATAGTCCAGGAAAGGTTTATATTTATTTAATAAAAAATGTCAAATTATTGAGACAAATGTAGAATAATGTGAAAAAATCCAGATAAATAGTAAAATTTCCTGACTTTTCCCTGACAATTCTAGATTTATAAAATTCCTTACCCGGTTTTCCAAATTTTCCTGACCGCTAGACACCCTGTTCGTATTGTACGCAATCTAGTATTACGTAACACAAAGAGATATCTTAAAAAGTGGTACGATATTGAAAAACGACTTCAACGTCTGTAATAATAATTAATAAATACAAAATTCGAAAGCAAGTATCGCTTGGAGATCATTGCTCGCGCGATTAAAATTTATCGACGTCCGTATGCCTCAACGCGTTATCTTCCGATACCGATAAATAAATCAGCGTGACAATCCAAACGTCAATCATTCTCTCAAATGACGGAAGTTGATAATTTTGGAGTATTTTGACCTTACCTGCCGGTCTTTGTGATGATCATCTCCGTGCCGAGTTCGTTAAATTTATCCCAGAGGTCCTTGGTCTCCAGGTGGCAGACCACATGTTTCAGTTCCTCGCAATTCGAGCGCTCCTGGAGCAGCGGATTCACGACCGGCGAGGCGCCCTTCCCACTCGTGCTTCCGGTGTCGTCCGTTTCCGGCTCGTCCTCCGCATTGATCGTCTCCGGAACCGGCGGAGCACCGCGGCCGACCCCAGACCCGCTGGCTTCCCTTTCTGCACAATTCATATTTTTGCAATATTTAATATACGCGTATTACACATACCCACGCATGTAATGGATATTAAAAAGTTTAATAAAAGTATATATAAAAATGATAATTCACATGAGAGGTCTATATCATATTATTATGACCCATAAGTCATACCATAAGAATATCATAAGAATTATCCTTGAGAATATTACTCATCTGTCAGAATTATGAATTATGATCCACCGTACAGTCGCGGTTTTTATTCGCCGCTCTTGGACATACGCAACCGGAAGCGAGTGGGAAAACCGCTTCCGGTAAGACTCGATATAAAAATCGAGACTCGCTGAAGCGTAGTAAAACCCCATTTCGAGAGAGAGAGAGAGGAGAAAAGCTTAAGGACAAACATTTATCACCGCCGTGTCATTGACGCTCGTTTTTATCCGTTCAGACGACAGTCACTAAAATAGCGTACGACATACGGGAGTTTAACGTGAATGAACCGCGCGCGCTTGATGAATATTTAAGAGCCACGTTCAATTACAGTTATATCTTCGCCGTCGTTCCCAGTTTCGCGACGACGATGTCGACGATTCACCCTGAGAAGCTGCGGCGTACTTTCGCCGCTCGCGCGGCGAGCGAAATTAAAAGCGAGGCTCGTTCGTCGATTCGTAATTTACGATGGGAGGCCTTCCATTAACCGCAAATTATTATTAATTTTGTCCGATGGGGCTGCACATTGCGATAACTCGATTCTAAATTACGTATGACAGGGCCTCGGCCGTCGATTAATATCTTCTTTCGTATATACATGCGCTTTTATTGCGCCGCGCATCTTACTTGTCATGGCGCAAAGTTTCGTGACTTTTTGCAAAGCTTCCTCGCGCGAAAGAAGTTCGCGTTTACGTATGCATAGACGTTTAATGAAAAATCGTTTTTCTGACGCGCGATTTATTTATCGCGGCATTCGATGACTCTATTAACGGAATAATAAGGAAGGGGAGTGTCTCTCCGATTAAGATTTTAATCAGAAATTAAATGAATGGTGAGAAACTGAAAATATATAGTAGACAGGTATATAAACGATTCATCAATATAATGTTTTCCAATTGCTTGAATTACGTGTCGTGAGAAAGTCCCATATACAAATAGATAAAAATAAAATTGAAATAATGACATACGTGCGTTTTATTTATTTTAATTAATTCGGAATTTAAATGATTTGCTTCCCTTCAAGATATTATCAAATATTTTTTATTATTGTGCGGAAATGAGATTGTATCAATACGAATGTGTCAAAAGCACTTGAAAGATATAGCAACGGAGGTGCAAGATTATGAGAAACTCACGTTGATTAAAATGACTCACGCTGATTAATGTTGCAAATTAACTCGGAGACACCACGTTATTGAGGCATTTTATTTCGCATAGATATAGCGTTAATCTCTCGCGTTTATACGCGCAAATGTCTTCTCCCCTTACACGCACACCTGTAACACAACGTTGTGTATAATTCTGCGCCGTTCAATCACATCGACGTAAATCTAAACGTAATCCATTTGGCGGTGCTTATAGGTATCCAGTTATCGATGATAATATATCGTCGGTCGCCGCGATAAGCAAGTTCCTTCAGCATCGCAATCGATTATAAATAATGTCGCGAAGAAATAAATAATTCCGCGCGCGAAAAGTCGGCCTTACAATTATATTACGCAGATTGCGTTTCCGATTTTAATGACGCAAGGGAAAAGTAATCAGCTGATAAAACGACGTATTGCCGTCGACGGTGATTAATTGTTGCGCCACGACGTTCGGGCACAGGAAGTCGAGCTCTCTTTTCAAGATGCATGCAAATTTCTACAGGATGTTCTCAACGATATAACTTTTCAAGTGGTTACAAGTCCCCGTTTTAATGCGACTTTCAAAATTGTTGGTTGAGATAAAATATTAATCGTAAAGAGGAGAGATTAAATAATTAAAATTAAATTGATTTCGTTCGAGTGATGGATAAAATACATTTTTAATACCACGTAAAAACCCGTGATTTATATATTGTACAAGCTGCGTCAATAAAAATATTCCGAGATGCGTACTTTGATAAACGTCGAATGCAATTTTTCGAGTTTCTCCGATAAGAAATGTTGCGCGGCTGAAATTTATATATACCTAATGATAACACACGAGAGAGAGAAAGAGATCAGCATTTGCCATTTTAACAGGTCCCTTCTCGGCGTAATTCGCGAACACGTATTTACCACGTGCGCCTCCGCGTTTCCATGGCAAGAGCCACCGTTGTACTCCGGGAAACCGTAATAAACTTCGTAATGGGCAGTTACGAAGTACCGACTTGGCCGGTATACGTCAGGTTTTGGCTATCAATTTTGCACATTGATGCCGCGCGCGAGGAATTAATTGTCCATTCGGCGCAAGACGGAATCCGGCGTCAGAGTATTATATTGGTCCCGCCACCATTTTTCCACTTTTCTCTTCGCAAAAATCCGCAATTAAGCGTAGCATATATAATTCTCGGCGCGTACACGTATATTTTTTTTTCTCTTATCGGAAAAAAGCATGTGAAAGAGAACAAAAAATAATTACAACGTTGTTAAAGTAATGTAGGACAATTAGAAATTAAACGCCGAGCAAAGATGTGCGAAGAAAACGTAAATTGTTTTTGTAACCTATAGTATCGATATATACGATTAAAATTATCGAGAATGATTTTTATGAAATAAAAAATCTGACTAACTCTCGTGATTGATGTACCACGATTTTGATATATATGCATGCATGCTAAAGAGAGAGAAAATATGATATATCGCAATGTTTTAATCATTTGCAAGATAAAAGCTTACTGATACACAAACGAGGAAGTAACGCAGTGGTAAATAAAGTCTCTTGGTTTACCTTAAGTTACTGGAGGTAATAATTTTACGAACCGCCGCTCTTGGCCGGCATCACGCTAATAACGCTAAACTAAAGCAAGCCTCGTCATAAGTGGATAATTATCCTTTTTCCAAGCGCTACCGCGCGCTTATTACATCGCTCGCCGGCGTGTATGACCGTTGTGCCGTAATCGAGGGAATTAGTCATTTTGCATTTAATAACGTCTAAACCACGGTGAGAGATGAGAGAGGAAACGATTCTCGAAAACTCTCGCGATATTATTGATCAGCCGCAGAAATGATTGCCGGTATATAATACGCGTCACGAATTATCGTTCAACTCGATATGTAAATTAGCCTCACGTCCTTCGACCGTTATTTCACCCCGCATTTTACACCACACACATTTTGCGGTAAACGTGACTATTTAATCCCCAACTCGTGATTACCTTAAATCGTCTGTATTGAAGGAAATTTCAAACCAAATAGCTACAAATGATTTAGCTTTTTTCTTGCACAAAACAATCTTTTATAGTATAAACTAACATTGTGTAAATTGTATTCTGTATATAAGTTATAAAGATATCAATTGTTCTATCTTTCTATTCTCTGTTTCATATATTCTTTATTTGTATTTACTAATCCTAACCACATGCACCTTCCGCAATAAGGCAAAAATATAATATATGTATTTTATATGGAATAATTTTTTCTAGTGCAAGTTTTTACATTACAAAATAATGTCGCGCATGCAACATATATAAATTATGTAAATTATCTCGCGATCGTAATGTCTACAACTCATAATGTTTACGTTATGTTGCATATCGTGCGGTTTTTTTCTCTACATGGAAAGCGCATCTTTACAACGTTAATACGCATGATAAATTACACAAGATATGTATATTGAGATTATCTTTACGAACCGTCAACGTATTTATTAAGTCTCGCGATACGAATAGAAAGCGCTTAGCGCCGATCCTTGGTTATTAACCCGTTGATACGGCATCAATTTGCGCCTGAGAGAACGTAACGTGTAATTCTAAATTTTTAAACACGATCTACAGAAGGCTGTACGATATTAAACTCTTCCCGATACACACAGTGTATCTCAGAATCTTTAATTATAGACTCCCTGCCGAACTCGGAGTGCATTTTTCGAAAAAATATTTCTTGATTAGTTCCAGAGAGAGAGATATGTATTTAATTTACTCAAACTTCTTCAATCTCTCGAATATAAAATTATTACAATTTTTCGACGCGCCGCGCAGAAAATATTTTGATAAAAATTATAATATATTCAATTGGTCTATTATTAAAATGTTAATTTTCTTTCAAAAATATTGTTTTCCTCGATAACACTTCCTACGAGTCGTTACTTCTGGAAAATGCTCATCTGTCGAGATAAATGGGCCGCTCTGGCAAAGGTTAAAGAGAGTTTGATCCGATAGATCGGGCGAATGTTTACGCAATAGTAAACTCCTCGGCGGCCGCAACGCATCGCGGAATATTAAGTACGAATTACCACTTGCAATAACAGTAATCTTCATCGGTCGGTCGGTCTTTGGCCGTAAAACGCCGCGGAGAGTCCCTTGCGGTCGCCGGACTCTGTATTTACGTTTTGCGCTTCGAGCTCTCGCGGCTGCGCGAACCTTTCAATATAAGAGAAGGATACTCGTCGATCGACGAGGATTATCCGCACGCAACTCGTCGTTTCCACCGCAAGAGAGCCGATAACCACAAAGCAATAATTAATTACCGTCGGCACCGATACGCCGATTTATCGTCGATTATTACCCGGCGAGAGGGTATATACGCACAAACACGAGCCGAGATATAGCCGAGTGTGTTGAACGCGCGCGCGTTTAACACTCCTCGAAGAAGTTATTTAATAGCCGCGGGATCGAGTATATAAATCCTGAAAGGGCCGATCGATATCGCTTCTTTAATACAACTCGGTGGGCGTAGCCGGAATTATAGTTACACCTGCGGTATAACGTGAAGACGTTTTCGCGGGAGATTCCCCGTTACGGTGCGATTACTCTTCAAGTAATAGTTTACCTCTCTTTTGGCAAGATTCGATTCGCTATTGATTTTTTTTTCCAACTTTTGCCAGATGCTGTCTCGCGTAACATTCAAA